GGTAGAGCAGACGGGGTTATCTTGGTAGCTCCAGTCTGAACTCCGCCATATTGAGTTGTGCCTTTTTTTATTTAAATGGGTTAAAATACTGTCTTACATAAATCTCAATAAATGTCACTTGTCACGCGACGGTGGCGCCATTTAAGCCCCTGGTGAAATCTGGATGAACTAAAAAGCGACGGTGGCGCCATTTAAGCCTCTGGTGAAATCTCAATGAACTAAAATGGCGCATTTAAGACCCTGGGGAAATCTCGATGAACTAAAAAGTCACTACTTCACAAGAGAGAAAGATTTCATTTCCTCTAAACTGTCACAAGTGGTATGAGGACTGAATGTTTTACGAGAGAACGCAGCACCTGGAGGTCTGGGGGGTATGGTATACAGGCAGCACTACCTTAAAAGTACTGGTGGTAATTGGGAAAGGCTAATCGAATCTCAATTTGCTTGAGGCTGTTTTTCTGGGGGGTAGTCCCCAGACCTCCCGGAACTACGATCTTCTCAAAAACGTTAACCGTTAGGGTCTAGTGCAGAATTTTAATGGAAATGCTGTAGAACTTGGCACCACGATGTTGTGGACTACTTCTCAACAAAGACAATTGATTGTGATTTCCTATAAACTACCACAAGTGGGTGGGGACAGAATGTATGGGAAGAGTATACTACTACTCAACGTAGGAAGAATTGCTTGTGATTTTTTATTAACTATCACATTTAGTATGAGGGTTGAATGTTTTGGGAGAGAACGTAGCACCGGGGCGTCTGGGGAGCCGGGATGGGGATATGGAATACCCCCCAGTACACAGGTAGATTCAATTACCTTTTTTCGAACAACATCTTGACAGTGATTGTGGTAATTGGGAAAAAGTAATTGTATTTCAATTTGCTGTAGAGTATTTTTCTGCTGAGGGGTATTCCATACCCCCCGACCCCCCGCAGCTACGTTCGTCCCAGAAACGTTAACCGTCATCAATTGAAAAATGTTAATAAAAATGCTATAGAACATAGCACCACGATTTTGTGGATTATAGAAATAAACTATCACAAGAGAACAGAATGTATTGGGGAGTATGTAGCACCGGGGGTCTGAGGTATGGAATGCCCCTACAGGTAGATTCAATTATTGTTTGTCTAAAAATACCCTGAAGCTGTTTGTGGAAAGGGTAATCGAATCTCAATTTGCCGGAGAGTATATTTCTGGAGTGCCCAAAACCCCAGGAGGTACGTTTTGTCCCAGAAACGTTGGGCGTTAGCATCAGGGAGAGAATTTTAATGACAATGCTATTGAATTTAGCACCAGGACTTTGTGGATTATGGAATAATTCTCAAGAAAGGAAGAGTTGATTGTGATTTCCTATTAAATATCACAAGTGGTCTGAGGACTGAATATTTTGGGAGAACACGTAGCATTGGGGGGTCTGGAGGTATAAAATACCCCCTATCCCCCTCAGTAAACAGGTAGAGTCAATTAACTATTTTCGAACACAGCCTTAAAGGCGCTTGTGGTAATTGAGAAAGGGTAACTGAATCTCAATTTCCTAAGGAGTCATTTCATGTGCTTTTATAGAATCCCTTTGAGATCTGGGAGTACTTTTCGCGGAGTAACACAACGAAGATATAAGTTGCGCATGGATACATTTTATTTCTCTCTGTCAGTTGGCAACAATGTACTTAAAGTTTACACGTAGTGTTCCTATTGTTGGTAATGCATTAATGGTATTTCAGCATTCATTACTTTTGGGTAGTGTTTCTATATTGTCAGTTAACGCGTCCTATTTGAAACACCCCCACTATCATTTGAATTATTTTTGAAATTCAGTAGAACTATTTTGAATAACTTTTCTTTGGAATTCTCGATTTTTTTAAACTAAATCTATTTTAGAAATTTTCGTGGGACAATTTTTCGTCTCTTTTGGATCTCTTTGTAAACTCTTTGAAGCTTGGTCTATGACTGTGAGATTAATTGTACTATAAGTACAGATCAATAGCACTCTCCCATCATAATAGCGTAATTTTTCTCACTTCTGCCAGGCCAAGAGTATACCATGCGTGTACGAAGGATTGTCGTTTTATTTATTGGCAACGGTCCTAGCGTCTGGTTGTCATTTTTATCAGGATCAAATTTGATGCAGAGTGCTTTTTGAAATTGGATTGGAAGTCCTACCGCTTTTTTTTCGATTTTACTGTTGCTGGAATTTTAAGGACTGGGGGGGTTAATGGGTTTGATGTAGAAAATGTTAACATTCATTGTGTCATTTTATGGAAAACTCAAATTTCCGATTTTGAATAGTAAATGCTTTACCATTCTTCGTCCCAAAGACATTACAATCAAAGAAGTACGTTGGGTAATCTACCTATAGTTTACAAAACTTTCAGCAAACAACAGGCTATATTTATAAACATACCTACCTGTGTCCCCCACCAGCTGAAATACCAAGGTAACGGTATTTACCTCACCTCTTCAGGTAGTTAGTTTTGTATTGTAAGTTGTATGTGTGTCGTGATTATCTGTACGTCAAACCATAAAATGTGATCATTAATGAAAATAAGTGCCAAATATCCCAAAAATTTGAATTAGTAAGGTAAGTGACCCGAACAATTAGCGTTTAGAGACGATTCCGGGTGACCATCCTGGGCGATTTTAACGTTCGGTCATAAACGAAACCTCGCCTTTGCGCTGACGTCATTTAAATTTTTTTCTAAATTCCATAAATTCAATACAACATTACTCGTTATTATTTTTATCGATGGAAAGTGTGTTCAGTAACGCATCTTGTGCAAAAAGGGAAAACTCGGGCGGCATCAGCGGACGAATAATCGCTGGAATGTTCCCTCATTATTTCAAACAAATTAGTGTTAATTAATTTGCGGTCAAAATCATAATCGGCAAACTTTCCGGATACAAATTTACATAAAATGAAGCGTTTTTCAAATATTTCCACGTGTGACATGACCTCTTTTGGATGGGCTTATTGATCACGCGACCAATTTTAAGGTATCTTGACAAAATTTGTGTAACTGTGTTTTTTACATGCGTGACAAGTGCGTTTATCCTGAAAAATTTCACCAGCAATCTTTCATTTGTTCTAAATTGTGTGTCAGGCTCCAATTTGCCATTTGAAATTGAACAAACACACCTTAAAGAGTCGATGCGTAACCCAAAAAACTGTACCGGCACGTTGTCCAGGAATGGGCGATTGCGAACGTGTATTGCTTCGGGTTATGAATTATGATATTAAGAAGCATAATGGGTTCTACCACTTTTTTTGCGTCCACCTCATCGATCTCGAAACGGCTAATGGACTGCTTAAATCGTTTTTGGGATCATTCCGTTTATCTTAAGACATTAATTGAACACAAATGCAAAAAGCTTGTACGTATTTCCACTCGATTGGTTTCATTGGTACCGTACACGTCATTTTTCTATTTTTTTTATCATATAAGAAGTGCTTGAGAAGAGAAAATGAGCTAAGATTTTTGGTTTTGGAAGGCAATTGTTCCCAAAGTGTTACAAGAATTTGGGCGAAACGTCAAAGTTTCGTTGACATCCAATGCAATGTAGCTGTTCTGGTTATAAATGGAAAATAGTTCACGCAGGAAGCCACCAAATTCCTGTGGAAGTAAAAATTATTACAGGCGAATTGCAACTGAACAGTTACAAGATTTCCTTCCAGTTAATGGTGCAATAATGTTTTGAATGCTTTCTTAATACCTGTCTGTGTACAAACTGGACGAAACGTGATTGTTCGAGGGTAATATACATCCTGGCTATAAATGGCACAAGCAATTCCCCATGTCTTATCTTTAAAAAATCTAGATAATTCTTTGAGTCTTTATTAAGATGATGAGTACCTAATACGTGTTGTAGAAAACGCGGCATTATGAGGATCTCCTACGCTACTTTATTGAAGAGAAACATCGATGAAGGTATTTGTACTGAAAGTTTTGACATCGCCAATCCTGACGTTCCGCTTGCCCTTTATGAGTACCCTTTTCCGATACTTCGTTTTCATGATATTCGCTTCGACTTCACCAATAGATATGTCTCGTCCAGACGGTTTATTTTGCCTTTGCGGGTACATTCCTCCGACGATCTGTTCTTGAGATACTTATAAGGAGAAATATCCGATCAAGATAGGGGGCCGAGAGGGAGGACTGTGATGGGTTGATGGGTAAAAATTATTTCCGTTCATTGAGACCTTTCATAAGAGTACCATGATAAACCCAGTTCCCCTCCCTTGATAAGGGATAAGAAAAAGAGCGGTACTTGGTAGAGTGTTGTTGAGATCTAGAATAAGTACCATGACAGATAAAATTCATACCCCCGTCACTCACTGATCTCGAAAAGAAGTGGCGGAGAAAAGTTATGTGCCCCCCCCTTCCATTTTCAAAAGTTTGACTTGGCACCACTAAGGACATGTTAAGTATGCAAAATCTAAGACCAATTGGTTGTCGCATGTAAAAGTTATGGACGTTTAATTTTCAAAAACAGTATCTCAGGAAATAATACATGGGGGAGTCCCGCCTTAAGATAACACGATTTGATGGCCGTTTGGCACACCTGCACGGTTATTTATTGCAAACAATTCCAGAATTCTAGAATGATCCCCCTAAAAGTAGGTTGTTCAACACGGCAGAGGTGGATGGACGGACAGAACGCAAACAATAGCCCTTAAAAATGCACTAAAAATAAGGGAGATAGAAAATCAAAGGCCAACATTTCGAAGAATCGAAAATATACAAAAACGTTGAGCCTGATTTGTTGGTTTAATGGTTTTGCAGCAACAAGAAAAATCGAATGTCTCAAGAAGCAAAAATAAACGGAATGCTAAGAAGAAAACAATAAAAAATCGAACAGACCCAAGCTGAAGAAGTCTAAGATGAGTAAAATCCTAAAAAATAATACCGGGGGAGCATATGAAGTAAGTTGAGAAAGCAGAACTATAATAGAAGTGTGATAAAAAAACAAAAAGGAAAGAACAAAAGAAGAAGCAAACACCAAAGAATAGGGAAGCATAGAAAAATGGAAAGGTTAGAAAACTGAAGGGTTCGGAAGATCCCGAGTAATCAGGTGTAAAATTGCCTGTAGAGTCTAATAATCGAAAAACATACAGGGTGTATCATGGGAGAGTACTACTTCAAGTATTCAATTTAATTTTACTCACAGTATCTGCACCTACCGGAGACTTATATTCATATCACCAATTATACCAAATTTATACGGTGTGTAAAACTTGGGCAAAGTTGCCAAATTTTCGTAATAATTTAATGCTAGGTGTTAGGAATTTAATTTGGGTGCGTAGAATCCAAATCAATTCGTACTTTTTCGATCAGACTTCTCAATCAAAAGTTATAGACTAGAAACCAGGGGTTTATTATAAAATTGCATTTTTTGAAATTTTGTTATTATGATAATTATGATGATAAGATAAGTTATAAATTCGAAAATGAATTCTCAAAAGTTATAGTCTTGATAGTCCCGGACAGACAGACAAACGTACTTTGATCAACTAAGATTTAGTTTCTTAGTAACGTAACTGGTTCTACATAAATGGCAAATATTAGCCCGCTTTACCAAAAGCAATCGATCTCGCAAATATCGAGATTGAAATTTGGCTGGGGCGCAGGGGGTTGGAGGAGGTGCGTCGCCAACTATGTCATTCTGATTCCCCCTCCGAATTACCGAAACGGATTTTGATTTTTTTAAATATCTCGTTTATTTAGGTACTAAGACATGGGGGGTGGTATGTTTTCAAAGTGCCACCCTGTATACATATAAGCTAAAAAAAAAGATTGTTATCTAAAGAGAAGACGCTAAAAAATGGTTTCCCAGATCCATGATAGTTTTCCTTATTTTGGACACAGTGTATATCACTATTTACTTAATAAGATATTAAAATAAACGCGTCCAATCCACTCCCCCCAATTACATTTTCCGTCCGCGTGAAATAAAACGAAAAAGTAATAATTACAGGCATACAAATATGTATTCATGAAAAAGAAATAATTAGATATTCAAGTAGGAAAAGCTAATTGCCCGATATAGTTAAAGGTAATATTACAATATTTTTGCGAATCAGTTTGTTACATTGCAGTTTCATGTAATTTTGATGAAATTAAGGAAATTTGGACACACTTCACAATTTTGCAAACGCCATAACGTGGTTTAGTGATTGATGATTTTGTAGTGTAACCACTACGAAAGTAAAACTAAACACGAAAACAAAGTATCATTATCTTAATTACTCATCTGGTCACTTTTACTTTCCTAAGGAACTGTCTGCAATTTTTGCTGGTAACTAACTAAAGTGCGAAGAATCCCTAAATTACTAATTAGCCAAATTGGTGCATTAAACTTTTCTGCATCAACGGATTGGTTGGTTATGCGTCATTCGGCCTAGTTGCAACATTCAAAGATCAATCTTAATTGATTACTCGGCAATAGGTACGTATTACTCAACTCGTACACAAAGAGTGTGTGATCGTTAGGTGAAAGTACGATAGTAAAAATTTGCACGCACTTCAATATCAAAAGGGTTTACCAAAAAATCTCGAGAAACCAAGGTTTGAGGTTTTTTACACGTCACAGAAAAGTAATTATGAACAATATATGGAAATTATGCATTTCTCGCTAAAGCATAACGTGTATGGTTACGAGATAATTGCGTAAGTTGATCGATAACAGCATGGGGCGCAATAGAGTTATTAGGTAACGTCCTCACAAAATCTGTAAGCAAGGTTTACATAAATAACTATAGTAGCCCATGACAAAGTACAGTTTGATGAGAGCTGCATCAGTGACATCAAGAGATTTTGAAAGTCAAAGGTGAGAAATGGGATGTCATTTTGGGACAACTTCACTTTTAAAGTTGAAAAATCAAATTTTTGAGTATACTAAGGCAATTTGATTCGAATGTGGGTTGAATCAAACACTTACAGAAAAAGAGAACTATTATTTCTTACACTCAATCAAAAGACCACAATCGCAAATTAAAATAGATCAATATCTTAGCGTTAAATATTCAAATCTGCGTCGTTACTTAATTAGGCTTGCCAGAATCCAATAGATTCCAGTTCCAAAAGACACTCCAGGGTCCGATCGGAGACCAAAAAGGTGCCAAAAAGGAAGTCTGAGGAGTGAAAAAAAAGCAATGGCTTATAGTCTTGCTCGATTGTTCGAAAAGGAACTTTTCTCAAATCGATGACTATTAATAACGTCTTATGAAGTTTTCCAATAAGCGTTTAGTTCTCCAGTTCCAAATACAGCTTAGAAGGAGGACGATATGAAAATTTCCAAATTGGTTTTAAAGGAAGAATTAAAAAAAAGGTGTAATGTCTTCCATATTATACTAGCGGTCCCGGAGAACTTCGTACCGCCTTATCCTGTTTTTTCCCGTTTTTCTCCGGTACCGTGGAAACTTCGGGAAGTTCTTTCGGAGTACACCTTAACGTTTTCAAAGAAACCTACATGCCAAGTCTCTGTTCGACTGTAGAACGTGAAATCCTGCTTCTTCTTGTTTCCGTTCCCGTGGGAATTTCGGAAAGTGTTTTACTAGCTCATAAACTTTCGCCGGCATACGTC